AAGGGAACACCTTTAGTTCTTACAAAAAGATCTGTATCAGTAAAAGACACAAAGAAAATATTCTTTAGCTCGCAGATCATATATTACTAGCTGAAGACAATGAGCAAATAAAAATTTAATTTCAAAACTACTCACAGACGCATTCATTTTCACGTTTCTTGGAGGTGTTGGTCCCGGTGATGAATAATGACTTGGTCTAGAAAAAACTTAACGCAGACGAACGAGTTATAAAATGTTTTAGAAAATCACCTGAACTTCTTCGCAGGATTGAAGTGTCCACAGATAAAGCATACAAATGCGAGATAATCATACTCGGCAGGAAGAGCCATTCCGTTATGTCCATGACAGTTTGAGCAAATCAAAGCAAGCCTAATTCAGAGGTGATGCTTCAAAACAGCACAAAATTTTATTGTCACCTCTGACTTGGCCCATCTCCAAAGAAGTAGTCAACCATTTTATCGACAACTGTTGTACTTTCTCTTTGAAAAGGGCGAATGGGTTTGAGCCGCGGACGCGGAGGTAAAGATCTCACAGGACCCATCTAAAATCAGGTGAAATTCGAAGCAAGATAGGCTTTTCTTGCACGAAAAGATTTCAAACTGATAATTGGCTATTAATCAGATATTCACATGAGAGTGATTGAAGGTGCCGATTCCAATCCACCTTCACATGTGCAAAACGTTTTTTGGTGAGTTTATTGACACTTTTTCCGCTAAAATAAGTGCACCACCAATATTGGTCAATCTAGAGCTAAAACAAATTTGCAAAGAGTCTTAGTGGAATTACCGATGAAAGAAATAAAACTACTGCTGTTTTATGCTAAATTATTGGCAATTCGTTCTAGCTGTTTTCAGCAGAAAGAAGCCTACACAACCAGACCCAAAAAAATTTGCAATATTGGCAGAAGTGAAGCTCCGCTTCATGTGCAACTGCAAATCCTTTTTTCACCTCTTCTACACCAGCTGTAGACATTTCAGCTTTACATAAGAAAGATAGAAGCAATAAAATGTCGGAAAAACGGGTCTTAACGAGACGTTTTCTAAGATGTATGTTGAGAAAAAGCACCAAATTAGCATGTGAATAATTGTACCTCAGCAGCTGGGAGACTTTCAAAACTTTTTGTGTGCAGCTTCTTCACTGGAGGATTTGATCCGTTTGTCACTATGGGTCTATCATTCATCTGTGAAACAGCTGACTGGACTTGATCTGCACGCAAATTCTGTCCTGAATAGAAAAATTGAGATTCTGATGAATAAGTTTTCAGCGCTACGTATTACTGTTATTAATGTACGCACGAGGATTCCCAGTACTTCTTTTCTCAGTGGATGGACTAGGTGGCTGAGACAAGGATTTGGGGCTTTCCTGAT